TTTGTAGACACATTATAGAGAAACGTGGTGATCTGCAACATGGGTGATAATGCTTTTGCTTTTCCTGTAACTGCTCCACAATAAAGCCACTACAAAGTTTTTGCAGACCTGGGAGAAGACAGGTGTGTCTGATCATAAACTTGACTGTAAAAGATTTCAAAATTATTAATTTTACCCAACTGTGTGCAGGATTTTTGGTTCTTTCCAAGGGCACATCTGTGAAACACTGAAGAAATTTTACTCCTTACTTACAGAATAGATTTTACTACACCCGTCAGAGGTGACATGCACATACTGTATGAGATGTTACTATAAGTGAAAGGTGTCTGCCGGTGAATACATTTGTCCAATGATGAGGACATGAAGTCTAAAGTCGTTGCAGGATTTATAGTTGAGACCTGCTGATGTTAAAGTTTGGAGAAGTGGTTTGCAGACGAGCTTCCTGTTTCCAGCAGCGTCTGACCACTGCAGAGTCACTGTAACACTCACAGCTCAGCTTTGACTGTTTACAGTGTGCTGCATCATTCAGCTTTGACTGTTTACAGTGTGCTGCATCATTCAGCTTTGACTGTTTACAGTCTGCTGCATCATTCAGCTTTGACTTTGATGGCCAGACACCTCACTGCACACTTCGAATTCTCAAGGGTTGTCTTTTGTTTGTATCGGCCCTCTAAACACACACACAGACAGAGACACACACACACACACAGACAGACAGAGACACACACAAAGCCTGTCTGGAGGTGTTTACTATCACAGCCCAGAAGGAGAGCTGACAGTAATAAACTGGAGTATGTTTGTGGCTTCATTAGCCTCTAGCAGCAAGTTACACTCCTTCTGTGCGTGTGTTTGTGTGTGTGTGGGTTTGTGTGTGTGACCTGAGGTAACAGACTGCTTGTAGCTTATTACAAACACCTCAGGTTTTTTGAGGCGCAGTGAGAGCACACACAAATGGACGACGAACTCTCATTCAAACTCAATGTCCTCATGGGACTTCATTAGGAGGCTCAAAGGCAACTATTAGCACTCGGTTAGAGAAGGGACAAGGACACCACCAGCTGTGTCACAGTCTTTTATACACGTGCACACGTACACACACACTAATGCAGAACTGTTATCAGTGCTCCCATTCCATGCAGCCATAGATGATGTATGTTATTAATTAAAAAGATGTGGCTGCTGAGGGTGTTGGTTTCATGTGTGTGTGTGTGTGGAGGCTGTGAGAATCTTCAGGTGTTGTGCAGCAGTGTGTTCAGTGCTGTACGCAGAGCTGATGTGTTCAGAAGAGCCGACCTCAGCATTCAGACTGACAGAAGAGCAAAGGCATCAGAGCGTCACGAAGAATCAGATCAGCCCTGTCAGGAACACTCACCTCGTACAGTAAACGCAGTCGACAGTGTGCTGTGACTTGGGGTTAGGGATGCACCGTCTGACTTTTTCAGTCTTGATACCAATACCTAGACTTTGGGTATCAGTCGATATAAATAGCCAAGTACCAATCTGATACCAGTGTTTAATTAATAAGCTGTATGCTTCACTCTCATGGATAGATTACTGGATGGGTCGTCCAGGCACAGGCCTTAATTGTCAGGAGCCTCCCCGGTCACCTGCAAAATGTCACTCAAATTAACAAGTACGTAAAGTGACAAAAAATGACCACAAAGAGATGCTAAAAACTGCAAAGAGACACAAAATAACCACAAAGACAAAGTCTGTTTGATTAGGATGTATTTATAAATATGTAATTGTGTGATTTTATCATTCTTTTTATTCACATTGGAGCCGTCATTTTTTGTAGTTTGTAATGTAATTGTTTGTGTGATGTCTAGTGATGATGACTGAGATCTCACTGATGTCAGCGATGGTTTACAAGTACATCATGTGATGACTTAATGATGCCGGTGCTATGAATAGCCACAGTTATTATTTAATGAATCAGCAGTTATTTTCAAGTCAAGCGGCCGAAATGAGCTCTGTAGGGTGGCTGGGCTCAGCCTTAGAGATAGGGTAAGGAGCTCAAACTTCCAGAGGGAGCTCAGAGTAGAGCCGCTGCTCCTTTGCGGCGAAAGGGGTCAGTTGAGGTGGTTCAGGCATCTGAGCAGGATGGCTCCTGGGTGCCTCCCATTAGAGGTATTCTGGGCACGTCCCACTGGTGGGAGGCTCTTGGGCAGACCCAGAACACGCTGGAGGGATTACGTATCTCACCTGGCCTGGGAACGTCTCAGGTTCCCTCAGGAGGAGCTGGAAAGCATTGCTGGTGAGAGGGACGCTGCTTTGCTTGGCCTGCTGCCCCCGTGACCCGGCCTTGGAAAGCAGATGAAAATGGATGGATGGAAGCAACATAACATTCAGACTCATCATTTAACATTACAGCTAACTCACCGTGGCATTAATAGCAGGGTGGTGCTCCTTCAAGTGTCTCTTCAGGTTGGTCGTATTCTTTTCACCTAATTTGTAGCCACAGGGCGTCTCTATGTCTACATAAGTATGTCCATAGATCAATTATTTTTGTTCCGACCAACCCCTTTTTTGCATTGAAGCCATTATGTTGCTTTCATTAACTCGCTGCTGGTTTGGGATTCTGGGAATCTGCACACATCCCTCACGTACAAGTGGGCAAAATACGCAGTTTGACTGTCCGATAGCCCACCACTTACATTTAGGCACCTCAACGAGAACAAAACATACATTTCATCACAGTTTTTAATCATCAAACACCTGTTTTTAGCTCGTCAACGTCTTATTTTAGTGAAACAAAAGGTTGTTGATGACCATTTTAGTCACTGCCTCAAGTGAAACTTCATTGTTTTTACAAATGTATTTAAAAGTTAGATACTGACTCAATCAATCTAGCAAAAACTGCATTAGATTTACAGTTGGGAGCTGATGGCAGCATCTGGAAATGTCATGTTGTCATGTGTTTTGGTGGGAAACTGTCAATGTGTCATACAGACAGCTGGTGGGTTGATTGGCCAGTCGGAGCTGTCGTCATCAGCGATTAAATTATCCTGATAGACGTCTCCACTAGTTTTTTAGCAGACAGATGTGGTCATCTTACTGTCAGCAGATTCAGTGGACGCACTGTGTGTCATCATCTAATCACACACATTTACTGACCGTCATTCCAAATGTATCTGTAATTTCTCCATGTGAGCTTTGTGGCTGTTGGTGTGAGGCGAGAAAGGGAGCAGGCCTCAGTGGAGATGATGATGGAGAAATGTTGCAGTTACACCTGCTGGCCTGCGGTATCATCGGATCAGGCAGGAAGCAGGAAGTGTGTGTTCTGCTGGGGAACCCTAATAAGCATTGACACTGCCTGGTGAGGGCAGGAAGGATTAGAGGAATAAAAATAACTCGCTTCTCGTTTTTACTGGGCGCTTGTGTGTGTGTGCATGTGTGCGTGCCTGTGTTGTCCAACAGTATTTGTGAGGAAATGGCTCCTTGAACACAGTCTTACATTAAGATTCATGTCAAAAATTCACATCAAATGGTCACAGAGAGCTTTTTAATACATGAGTCAGCTGTCAAAAGGTGAAGTGATTTAAAAACGAAGAAACGACTGAAGTAATAAGATTATTTGAATGTGTTGTTCATTGCTGCAGGGCTGTTTTAGTTGTAATTATGTGAATGTTTGAGTGTATGTTTCAGCCACCTTAAGACGATTTATTTTCTTATTTCAGTTTGTTCATGCAGAGGATTGAATGCAAAGCAGCTCTTGAGATGACAACTTTCTCACTGCGGTGCAACTAGTGTTTGTTTGGAGAATTAATTCTCTTTGTTTGCAGCGGATTAGTTTTGCTTTTCTTTATGTCAAACCAACATTTTAACCAATATTTTATTTCAGTCGTAATTTCAGTGATCTAATAGCTCTGCTCAATATGTTTATTAATAAAGACAGTAAACATATTGAAAAGCTGGCAAATATATGGGAGCAAATGCAAGACTTAAGTATTTCAATTTTGCCAGCCACTGAAATTTTAAGACCACTGAATTCTTGGCATTGAAATATTTTGCTTTGAAAACCATTTATCTTATTTTTATTTGCTCTGAATTCACCTGTTTGAAATTGCAATATGACATTTCTTGATTTGTAATTTCAAGAAATTGTTTTTTTAATTTTTTTAATTGTATGAAAGCTCAAATGTCTGCCCTAACCTGTGTAGCCCAGATTTTGCTCTTGGAATTTTTTGGGGGTTAAAATTTTTGGATCTGAATTTGACCAGTCAAATTTGAGCAACCTGAATTTATCTTTTTGATATTCTGCACCTTGAATTTTTTGATCTGAATTAATGAACACTGAAAAAACCATGTATTGGGGGTGTTGGTGGCTTAGTGGATAGAGCAGGCACCCCATGTATAAGGCTGTTGCCGCAGCGGCACGGGTTCGACTCCAGCCTGTGGCCCTTTGCTGCATGTCACTCCCTCTCTCTCCCTCTTTCACACTTGACTGTCCTATCAATTAAAGGCTAAAATACCCCAAAGTATATCTTAAATCTTTTTTTTATATTATATAGCGAACTCAGTACAAATAAATTTAGATACATGGTTTTCAGAGTTAACTATTTCAAAGCTATGATTTCAGTGGTGTTTAAAACTCAATATTAAGTATTTAAAGGGTTTAAATTCAAACAAGACAGTGAAGTTATCTGATTGGCGATACCTTAGAAATATAAACATGTTTTAAATATTTTTGCATTCAACAAAATATGCAAACTGCTCAGTGCATCAGTGGTACAATAACCAACTTTGCCAAAGATAAAATATAACCTCAAGTTTGCTAACTGAGATCAGGAAACATCTGGTCAAAGAATAAGTAAAGAAATATCTCTGCTTTCGATGCCGACTGTCTCTCAGCTATTGAGGTCAGCCTTACTGCTTCTCACTTAAACATTGCCTAGGAAATGAATGTGCTTTGTATGTTATTACAAAAAAGTGCGTGCGTTGTATTTGTGTCTAAACTGTAATTCTCTCTCCTCTGTCTCTCTCTCTGTCTCTGTCAGATTATCTGTGCAGCCCGGACGAGAACATTTACAACATTGACTTCACCAGGTTCAAGATCAGAGACATGGAGACGTCCACAGTGCTGTTTGAAATCACCAAACCTCCATCCACAGGCGAGTCAATGAGCAATTTCTTTTACTTCACTTTTATTTACCTTGAGAATACATGGAGTAAACAAACATTATAAAGCAGCTTCATACATGTAGGCCAAACAAATGCAGATTTTTTCAGTAACCCGGCACTTATTTCAGTCTTCTGGGTTGTTTAATATTGTGTTTGTTGTACCATGTTTGTTTTCAGTCAACCACAGACAAGCCAAGAAATCTCTTAAAATTATTTATTTCATTTTATTCTGTTTATGTTCCACACAAACTGATCCTCACCTTAGACAAATCAGGGGAGAAGAGGGACATTGACCCTAACGCAGGCCGATTTGTCCGTTACCAGTTTACCCCTGCTTTTCTCCGACTGCGGCAAGTTGGAGCCACGTAAGTGAGAACATGTGTGAAACTTTATTTACAAAGATGTGTGTCTCTCTGTTTCTTCTCTCTGTCTGTGATTTCTCTGCCTCACTCACCTTTTCTGTCTGTCTGTCTGTCTGTATGTCTGTCTCTATGTCTTTGACCCTCCAGCGTTGAGTTCACAGTTGGAGAAATGCCAATTGAAAACTTCAGGATGATCGAGAGACATTATTTCAGAGAGAAGTTGCTGAAGAGTTTTGACTTTGAGTTCGGCTTCTGCATGCCCAGCAGCAAGAACACCTGTGAACACATCTATGAATTCCCACCTCTCTCTGAAGAAATCAGTAAGTCTATTTTTTGCTTTGTAACTGATTTGGTAGGATTCTTGAATATCAAGATAGATGTTTTCTGTTGATTGAATTATTTATTTCCTCAGATTGTTTTGTTTGAAAGGTTTTTAGAGTCCTAAAGTGGTGTAAGTGTCCAATATTTCACAAGGAGCAGTACTTAGAGGCTATAGCCATGCTAGCAGCTCTGTGGCGCTGAACTCAGGCATGCTAACATGGTGATGATAAGCAGATTGCCATGAATCTGAGTCAGAGCCCAAATGCAGAGGCTGGACAGGCAAGTAGGTGAAAAACAAGTCTTTTATATGGAGGATATCCTGGAAAGGTAAGATGGAGGTTGGCAGGGATCTTGGCAGAGGTAAGGTCTCTGAGGGGAATGGCTTGGCAGATGGTATCCAGGATTGCGAGCTGGCTGGCGGGCTTGGCAAACTGGCGAGGCATGTAAGCAGGCAGGTAGTCCGGGACATAAGGAGAGCAAGTGTAAGACCTTTCAGCAAGCAGGTAGGCAAACAAACTGACAGAGACAGGCAAGTTGAACTACTGTGTTGAAGGAGCTGGGAGCATTGCACACATTGTGTTTCCATCGAGCAGTACGGTACACTTCAGTTTGGTACGCATTTTTTCCGTTTCCACTGTGAAAAGTTGTACGTCAAGTGTGTGTGTGTGTACGCTAGGGTCTGGGTACCATGTCTGAAAAGGTTCCAAAGGTACTATACCGAAAGTGTTAGGTGGAAACAGGGCTTATAGCTCAACAGTCGAGCAGTGACTAGCTGCTCGTGCAGAACACTTGTAAAATAGAGGAGATGGCTTGATGGCAGAGAGAGAGGGGAAGGGAACGAGCAATCAGACAAAACTTAAGTGCACTAAGCACACCTAACTCAAACAAAAGGCTGAAATAAAATTCGCCTCACATGCAGCGGCAGGTGTCACAGGCAGGAGTCACAAAGGAGGGGTTGTGACACACTTAAGCGTGTTAGCCTGCAAACATTTCCTAAAAAGCACTAAAAACAAAGTAAAGCTGAAGCGAAAAGAAAAGTCATTCGTTTTGCAGGTATTTTATCTTAACTCAGAGTGCTGGACAAAGGGAAACTTTGACCTGATGTTGGCGCAATATGAAACACTGCAAGATAAAGAAAGTGATTAGATGAGTATCCGTGCCAGATTTCATTGCAGTGCATCCTAAAATTGTTGAGAAATTTCACTCAGTACCACAGATGTCAACCTCATGCTGGTGCTAGATCACCAGAGTCAGTAGGATTTATTGTCTAAGGATAATCAGTGTTTTTTTTTTCCAGAACTAGGTCAATTTTTTTAGCTTTTACAACGCGAGTAAAGGCATCAACCAATCACGTCACACCTATACAATATGGAGGCTCCACAGTCCAAACCAAGATGGCAAACTTTATTACTCCTTTCAACCCTAACAAAGACTGCATGTAGCCTGCCAGAGCCATTCTTTCACTTCTTACCTTTCACAATAAAAGCCCAAGACATATTCACTGCATTACCATTTACCAGAGGGAACTCAAATTCACTTAGAGCATTTCACTGAAAGGAAACTTAATAAAATAGCCTACAATAGCTCAGGCTGTGCAACAACTTACCTCAGACAGACTGCCAGACGCTGCTCTGGGTCAATAGGATCCAGGTATTTGTCGCAAAGTGTTGCAAGCTGTTGCAAATATACATTGCTGCCTGTATGAATAGTTCTGATTCGAAATATTTGCAAGTTTGTAAATGCATTAAATCATGTTCTCACCCCCTCAGATTTATCTTGAGATCCCTTGGGAGGGTCACTACTCCTAGGTTGGGAACCAGTCCTCTAACAGCAGTGATGTTTTTGTGTCTGCTCCCAGTCAGAGAGATGGTCCTGCACCCGTACGAGACGCAGTCCGACAGCTTCTACTTTGTGGACAATAAGCTGGTCATGCACAACAAGGCGGACTACTCATACAACGGCGGGACATAGAGAGGACGCGCTGACACGAGAGACAGGTGGATGTACGGACTGACCAGAGGGAGGATCAGAGTGCGCTGGTGGAATTAACATCGTGTCAATCCAGTCGTCCCTCTCTCTTTTCATTTCTCTCCTTCTCTATCTCTACGCCATCCAGAGAACGCCCATACAGATGTGTCAGTTTCAATCTGTGTGTGTGTGTCTGTGTGTGTGTGAGCACGTGTAAGTTTGGCAAACGCACGCAAACTCACACACAGTTCGCAGCTCAGTGTGGCGTCATTGTAACAAAGCGTTTTTGTAACATGATAAACCAGCAGGTAAACAACTTTTTAGGAAATATGAGATGGTTTTTCGCTCTCTAGCCACGTCATGAAGAGGAAACTCTTGATAGAAATTATTTTTTTCATTCCTGTACATGTTAGGGTTAGGAACAAATATTGTATCTAAAAACGTGTGTTTTTAGGACTTGAATAACAGTTTTTGGGGAAATGATTTCTCAGATTCAGTGTGTGTGTGTGTGTGTGTGTGTGTGTGTGTGTGTGTGTACTTTGTGTGACTGTGTGTCCATAAGTATGTCAGTTTTTCAGGCATGATGACTGGTCTGGTAAAAATAAATTAACTTAAATGTCAATAATGTGGTCATCTGGTTTGCAAAGGTCAAATAGATTTCCAAAACACATTAGCACATTTTCTACACGTTGAGCTGTGGTTAGTTCATCAGACCTGTTTTCTGTTTCCTTCTCCTGTTATTCCTTATTTATTTCTGGAGTCGTGTGACCTGTGTTAACCCTAGGGCGTATGTCTTTATTGTATTTGCTCGAAGCACAACATCTTTACAGAGCCCACCATCAGTCAAATTGTAAAGATGAGCTGATCTGATATGACCATAACCGTACTTTGTCATTTGGGTACTAGTTGGACTTGCAGCCTCATATTGTTTTGTTTAGGTGATACAAAGGTTGTTAAGTTGTGTGTCTGAGTTTTGCTGTTTGGAAACTCCTATTAAGAGAGAAAGGGAAAACTTGCATTTGTAAATGCGGATATTTTTACAGTCAGAATTGTGTTGCAAAAAGCAGAAAGATTTGGGGTAATGTAGCAGAAATCACCCTTAAATCTTGTATATTTTTTTGTTCTGTGTGCTATCTGTTTCTGTGTCAGTGCTCGTCATGACTCTTATGTCCTTTTGATTATCTCATTTCTGCCTCGTACATTTCTGTCTCATTGTTTTCAGACACATTCCAGTGAGTTAGGACCTGAGTGTGTTGATCTCTTTTTATTTGAGGGTATTCATCATACAGAGAATCAGTAACTGAACTGACTCGGTATGCCTCTAAATCGTAATATGCACACTTCTCGCTGACTCAAATACAGTAGTTCTCATTTTTTTCTGCAAATCTGCACATACTGTTTGATTTGATGCACTTAAAAGTCAGTTTAGTGATTCTGCTTAAATTGCAGTAAACTCTGGTCATCTGTGAAAATGTGCAGTCAGTTTAAAAGAAATTACTCAAATGCACCTGTTGTGTGATCAAATCAGTGCAAAAAAAGGGTGGAAAATTATTCGGATTGTCATTGGCTCAATGTGATTAAAATCTGGTGGACTGTTTTTTTTGGGCCTTGTTAGTGACAGGGAATAAAGTAGCAAATGTGCTTAGGACGGGGCTCCAATTGGACTCTGATTGTTAATCAGAGATAAAACCGATTGACTTGAATGTTTAGTTTTAAATAAAAAAAGAACCACAGATATGTAGAACAGATTTATTTATAACTGATTGTGACTCGTGAACAAATTATTTTGAACTGATGTAAAGTTTTTGAAATGTCGATGTGACTGAACAAAAGTTAAATCAATAAAGATTTATGGGACATTTTGAAATATCACAGTGTGTTGACTGTTAATATCGTGGGTGTCAGCCATAGACTGTACATAAAGATAGACAATACGTCTCCACTTCCTTCCAAAGTTGAAGCCAAAATATCACAGATATGGTTGCTGCCATCTTGTGCTGTCAATGTCATTATGAGCCAGAGTCTACGCAGTGGTATATCGAGGTCCCACCCATACATTCATCCGACCAATTGCAGGCAGCACCATTGATTACAAGCACACACAGCTGTCAATCATAGCACCAAACCCCTTTTTACAGCATCACATAACTAATTAAAGCCAAGAACACCTGAACATACATCAGCGTGATAACAATAACCTATAATGACACTAACCATCATTGGGAAAAATTTATTTGACTTGCACTTTGATCTTTTAGTTTGGCTCATGTCCCGTCCACTAACAGAGGAGGCGGGGTTTATGACTTACACTGCAGCCAGCCACCGTGGGGCAATCGAGATGTCACAGCAGCTGTTGGAGAGCTGTCATGTCATCCCTCTATATTATACAGACTACAGTGTCAGTGAAAGAGAGAGTTTACACGTTGTTCACATGATAATGCTTCATTTCTAACCATAGAAAAAGATGTGGTACACAAATGTTGCTGGAACATCTCTTACACACATCAAGTTTATTACACTCACCTGTAATAACCAGACTAGACAGTGACCTCCACTACAGTTGTTCACTGTCGTATACAGCCTCTTATCTCAAAGTTAAACCTTCACCATCCTTTTCATCTGTAATCACTGTACCCAATACTAGTAACACCTTCCTGCTATGGATTAGTGCTTTCTTAATGTCATTTTTTTTTAACGTTTGAAGCTCCTATTGAGGTTTTTGAATGAAGCTTCAAATTCCTGCTGTCATATTTTATGATGTCAGCCCTCCCCACCCCCTAAAACAAAATTAAATATTCTTAAACAAAATCCTCAATATGAATAAAGTGATTCCTGGTTTAAATAAGTTAGGCTTTTTTTATTAGATCAACTTTCTTTGATGAATAAATTTACTTAATGGTGCTTTGTGAATTCCCTGTTAGTACAGGTGTGTGCCTCCCTTTGTGTGGGGCAAGCAGTCGAGCTAAACATCAACAAATGGTATAATACTTATAATGTCAGTGTAGCCTAATATTTGTCCGCAACTGCATGTGCAGATAAACCAGGTTTTAACAGAATGAACAGATATGTAAAAGTAAAAAAGACAAAAAGCTGCTCCGCATTCAACACACATCTCGCTCAACTCTTTAATACTCACCCAGCATCAGATTTGTATGTTCAGGAGTGACTTTTATTTAAACTTGTTACATGTATTGTGTCTTTTCAAAATAAACTTTTGTCTTCACAGGACATGTACAGTTTCCGCTGGTTAAATGCATACAGAAAATCAAAAGCAGCAACATAGGTAGAACACTTTGGTTTTAGGTTTACTTCCTTAGGTGTAGGCGGCAAAAGCACACGGTTAGGTTGAGAAAAAAATATCATGGTTTGAATAAAAATAAGTAAGTTTGTTACAAACATAACATCACATCATATGTCACTAGTGTAATCTGCTACACCTTCTAGCACACTGTTGTTTTTGAATAACTCCATTGACTTCTGGTTTCACATGAGCAGACTCCTGGGTGAAAGTCCGGAGTTTGACCCATCGCCCTCCTCTTCCGCTTGCCCTATGCGGACCTTCTCACTCCTAAGCTATACTACAGCAGTTCCTCTTAGAGTCAAAAAATGGTGCCAAGTGGTGGGTCTCATATCACTGCTAAAGCGTGCCCCTGTGTGTCAGTATGACACCAACGGCCACTGAGTGTCTGTATTTGACGAGTTGGGAGTGAGACTGGGTTGCACTGATTTAAAATTCAGTTGTCTATGAATGAAGCTCTGAACCATTGTGCACAGCTCCAGTGGTTTCTGTTCTTTAGTGTCAACCCCACTTTATGTACGTGTCACGAGAACTACTGGGATGGATTTATTAAAGAAATAGCTCAACATATTGTGAAATACATTTCCTTTCTTAGTGAGAGTTAGATGAAAAGATTGATACTACTCTCATGTTTGTCCCTTCAGTGTGAGGCTGGGGCGAAGAAATGGTTAACTTAGCTAGTTAGAAAAATGGCATCAGTCTTCTCTCTGCAATAAGACAAATACCTGCAGGCGTATTTCTCAAAATGTCAAACTATTCCTTTAATAGCTTTCACCTGTATTCATTTAGAGAGCATATTCCCAATTTACTATCAAAATCACTATCATTCCCTTGAAGGAATAAAAATAATCACCAAAAGTTAAGAAATACAAAGTAAATATTGTTAATATTAAAAACAGTGACAAAAACACTGATAAAAAAAAATAAAACATGCAATAAGAACAAAGACTTAAGGTCCAACAAAAGGACCGAAGTAATAAGTTAAATCGACTGATACAATTCATTCAATTTCAGCTCATTTACATATTGTCTGTAAACATCACTTGAAATAATCACAGTTTAAATAACCACTCAAACTGAATCTTTACATCATTTGTGAGTGATAAATAGATCAATAAGATGATCACATCCAGGGAAATGTGTACCGGGAAGTTTTTTTCCTTCTAACGGACACCTCGTTTTTGTTTTGTTCTGTCACTGGAATGACACGAGGAAGTACTGAACACTAACAGGGGATTGTCTGTCTAATAATGAAGCTAATAATCTGATAGCTTCAAGCTTATCTCAGTTTTCTTTGTCAATCAATTACTTTCACCAAGGTCTGGTTTTATAGTCATACAGGTACGTGTGATTCAGACTATACGTTGCACCACTGCTGACTAATTTGTAAGGTGGTATTCTGTTTTTGGTCATCTTTATCATGTTTACTGTGACCAGCCCTTCATGTGCTCATGAAAAAAAACTTGTTGCTTATTTAGTCATGGATATTTAAGGCTATTTCATAGAGAAACATTTAAGATTTGAAGACAAGTTCTCAGGGGCTTTAACAAACTCTTATTCCACCTCTGCATGTGTCCTCCCTAACTCAAGGTTGGCTGTGTGTAGTGTTGACCCAATCAGGCATGGTGCCCATGTTAAACATGGCGTATCCCCAGGTGTTAACGGCCAAATTAATGGTCAAAATCCCAATGATGTTCAGCATGAAGCCAGCTTTCACCTGAAGGAACAGACAGTGACATTCTCATCAGTATGCAGTAAAGGTCAAAAACCAGAGTATGTGCAGGAAAGGTCTTAAGTCTTAATTAGTGAGATATTATAAGACTCAAAACATCTCTTAAAGTCCTGCAGATGTTTTTTTTACGGAGTATGTAAAAGACACTTCCCTCCTCCTACCTCAACAAATATCCTTAGAGTATTTTCTATGCTATACTATAAAGAGCATCAAAATAGAGCTTCTGACAGAGGTTCAGGATCAGCCCTCAATGTCCTCAAATCCTAGAAATGCCCCTCCATGCACCTGAGCTGTGTGGAGCTCCTGCAACTAGAGAGCCTCTTGGCAAGGATGAGTGAGGACAGCAAAATGTCAAAAGGTTGAAGACAGGTAAATTCATTTAATATATATACTGATAAATGTTATTAATGTTTATTAACTGGCCCCTGGCCAACTGTAATTGTGCAAAAATGTCCCCTGTGCAAAGCAAGTTGAATATCCCTGCTCTAAACCTTGCTCACATGACTGATTCGTGTAACACAGACTGATTATGAATCTCACCATGTCTATGACTTTGAGTTTTCCGAAAGAGAAGGCGATGGCGTTGGGTGGTGTGGCCACAGGCAGCATGAAGGCCAGAGAGGCAGCGAGGGTGCAGGGCAGCATCACGTACAGCGGGTGTATCTTAATAGCCATGGCCTATAAGAAACACAGTTAACACAGTTAAATGCACGGAGAAGCTGTGTGTCAATGTCTGTGTGTGCGCATGTCGACTTCTGTTTACCATCGAGGCCAGTATGGGCAGGAACAGGGTGGTGGTGGCCGTGTTGCTGGAGCACTCAGTGAATGTTGCCACCAGCAGGCTGAGCAGCAATGCAATGGCGTAGGGGGGAATTTGCTCCAGAGGTGCCAAGCTCTGTCCTAGCCAATCGGACAGACCTGATTTCTGGAAACAAATTTTTCAAGCAGAAATGTTGATCGTTTTGAAAAAGGAGTCATAATGTTATTATTTGCTGTGTCAGCAACATTCAATTTAGAACAAGCCCAGGCTTATTGCAGCAGCTCAAAACAATTCTGTTCTGGCAGACGCACTGCAGCGTTTTACAGAAGGATCCCAGAAGCTAATAGAAATAGTTGCTAAGTCTGCTGCAGCACGTTGCACACAGCAGATCGAGTTTTCCTGCTAACAGGCACTCTACTTGAAATAAAGATACAATCTAATTATGAGGATGAATGTATTTCTGATGACTAAAACACAGCCACAAATCTTTGATTCATGTCATTCATAATTGGCCTTTTAACTGTATTAACTTCATCTGTAGGCTACAGCACAACAAGGTCCTTGAGCAAACAGTCATAAATGTGCATACAAAATATGAGGCTGACAGGTCCAGTAGTTTGCGAGTTTAGCTGCAAACAGACAGAACAAGACACTCACACACGCACACACAACCAGACGCACGATTCCCACCAGGATTACACCTGGTAAAGACAAAAACGTGAAGCACCGAAATGCAGGACCTTCTCACATTTGAAAAGCTGTGACCAGAAACAGTTTTTCTTGATAAATACACAAATAATTGATAATCTGATGATGATAATAATCTTGAAGTACAATAAAAAAGGGAAACACAATGTTCATGTGTGTTTACCTCACTGCCAGCAGCCAGAGCGAAGCCTCCTCCAAGCAGCAGGATGATGTTCCAGGGCATTCGCTCGTGGACGATCTGCCAGTTCAGCAGAGTGGAGGGGGTGTTCACCGTCCCACCTGTGAGACCCAGACGAAGTGTGAACATGAAACAGTAATTAGTTTTAAAGTGCAGTGTCCTATCCACTGGGTAATCATCAACCAGTGCTCCAATG